CAAAATTATTTAGTCCAAAGAAGGCAGATCCCTAGAAGTGTGAGCAGAATAACATCCTCTGTTTTGCCATAAGCCCTTGATTAAGAACGTAAGAGGAAACTGTTTGCTTTTCTATCCAAAACTTGATGATCTACTACAAAAATTAAACAGTCAGAAGAGAAGCAACAAAACTTGTACCTAGGTTTCTCAGTAGACAGACAGACATTTCCTCAGCATTAATGGTGGCATCTTTGTCCCTGTGGTAGGAAGAGAAAAAACAAACTGTTCTTCCAAGCAGTAACTAGTTCTAAACCAAAACAGAGTCCACACCACTAAGGCACCAGGATGATGAATACCACCTATTTTACAGTATATGATTTAACCCCACAAACAGAAAAGAGCGATGAGCACTTTTCAGTCTTCAGATCCTATCATCTTAACTCTGAAGGTATTAGACACATTGTAACAAAACAAGAGTATATATTTAATTTTGGGTTATTTTTTTCCCCACAGAAAATGCTGCAATAAACAACATCATAAGTTATATTTATCATTTCTTAAAGACTACAAACACGGAATGCATGCTTCTCATCTCACCAGGCAGAATGGCCATTGCTACATTTACTGAATTGGAAAAAATTACAGATAAGGTAGGTCTCTTCCAGCCCTGCAAACACACATACACGTCTTCTATTGATTGAACTAGTGCCTTGAGCACTTGCAAAACTGCGCATGTCTTAAGCACTGCACATTCACTATCAAAACAGTACAAGTTTTCCCCACAATGCATTTTCTAGTCTTTTCTTTAATTGAGTTTAACTGACTCAGCGGATAAGCCTTAAGCCACTTCCCTCACCAGCTCCAGACAGAGCCATAGCATTTTCTCAAACACTAACTCATCACTGAGATTTAACATACGACTGAACACATATGCTCTTAGCCCAAAGCAAATGAAAGGTAAAAGGTGTCTTATGCAAATGTCTTTCTCTGGTGTTCATATTAAAACGTTTTACATCACATTTACAACTCACTGAGAGAACAAACATTAACAATCCCTGCTCCTCAGATACACTGCAACATACAAGGCTGTGGTGATTCAATCATTTTTCAGTGATGGTTTATACATACAATCTTTTTCCTGTTTCATTTGCCACTTTACCTTTTATTAAAGCGCATTAAGCCCTTTTATTTTAATTCCTTAGGATTTACCCCCCTCTGCCAATCTGTACAAGCCTCACACATTAGCCCTTCTGTTTCCAGAACAAAATAAAGGTTTCACTACATCCACTTTGCAGATGAATGCCCACAACCTTTCTAAGTACTTACACCTGTATGATGAAAAGCGTTACACCAAGGGCTGAACAGCAGCAGCACCAAAGGCATTTAAACCAGATACAGCTGCTGCAAATAAAAGTGTGATCAATGGAGGGAGCTCTAAACCTAGAAATAAAAACCCGTTTCTCAATTCTGATACAGAAAGCAACTTGAAGGAAAGAGGGGTATTATGCTAATTTAGAGGAGAGCTCTCAAAATATCATAGCCGTTCCTGACAAGTAAATACATACTCAATTACATTGCTGGGGTCCGAGGTGGGGGACTGATTTTTTAACTGGAAGAAAAAGCTAAATTATGCATGCAAGCAACTCCCCAGAGGTATTAATTTGCAGAGAATGAACTACACCTGTACTGTCTAGAAACCTAGGCAGTTCTCAAATAGGATTTCCATTTATTCTTTTAATAACTTATATTCTTACATGATAGGACAGCACTATGGTTTGTAGTAAATTAACAGGCTTAAACCAGACCAATTACTGTTTTCATGTTTTCTCTCCTAGAGTAATTCTAGAAAAACAGTCATTCACATGACTTTTAATCTGATGGTACATACATGGAACAATCCTCAGAGCCTGACTCCTGACCGGCTGAGAGGGAAAACTCTGGCTGTGGAACAGTTTCAAAAAAAAAATTACAGTAATCGTAAGTATTTCAGAAATTAAATGCAATCCCTCTGACCTCATCCTTAGGTGGATTTCAGTAAAAGTCAAAGCTTTAAAGAAAGAATGCATTGCATATGAACATAGGGAAATATAAATAGATTAGGTCTAATTATTTAATTTAACATGGGGTTGGTTTTTTAATGAAATGAGTGTTTTCAACCACCTCTATAACCAAACAGTATGCTATAATAATAAAACTTCCTATAGGATTAAATTAGCCACAACAAAAAACCGTTAAGATACCATTTTTTTCATTTTCTGGTGAGAAGAGAGGCATGGAGGGCAAAGCAAGCTGACACCAGGAAGTCAGCAGACAACGCGCAGCCAAGTTAACCAGTAAAACTATGATTAAAGCTAAACTGATATTACTGACAAAAAGCAAAATTGCCTCACCAACTTTTTTGAGAGTCAGTATGCTGGAAAACAGCATCTCCCCTTTAAAATGGATGACAATGCCATGCTTGAAGGCAGAGGTTTAACAGGGAAGTGAAGTTAATTTATAAAAATTAAAGTGTTGGGACACTTTCAAAAGTAACTGTAAAATAACTCTGTTTAGGAAATAACTATAATCAGATTCTCCATCAACCCAAATGCTGACTCTGTGGAATGTTATGAAAATTACAAATATGGGAAGTAATTCAGCAGATCAGTAAACCACTAATTTCTCAAAGCATTCACAATTTCAAGACAACTCTGACTTGCACCTTTTGTTCCCTTGTTCGGGTCAATTTCAATTAAAAAACAAAACATACCTCTGAGAGTTTCCAATCCTAAAAAAATATTCCAGTAAATAAAAGCGGAGCACAAAACCACACATATACAAGGGTGAAGTTTTGAAGGGAAGTGGTTAAAAAAAAAAAAAAAAAATCACTTCACTGTCCCCAGCTTGTCAGCCAGTAGTTCACTCAACTGCAACAGGACTTTCCAACAAGAGCTTCTCAGATAGCAGTTTGCAGTATACTTCCTAATGACAACAGCAGCAATACGGGCTCCTTCTAACCTGACATCAACTACACACAGAGATCATCCTCATCCTTTACAAGCGACTTAGAAGTTTAAAGAATCTGCCTTGATCATGCAGTTACACACCTTTGCCTAATGCAAATGCAACACAGGCAGCTTGACCTCTGCTTCAGGTGCTGGACTATCATTACTACTCATTAACATAAAACAAAGAATCTTTAATTAAGACTAACGAGCTTAGTGTCATCATATTCTCCACAACAGCACCACTCCTCAGTTGAGATTTTGTACAACAGCTGAGCTGCTCCACTGCCCACAGAGGAGGTAGCAGCAGTTAGCCACCAGCTACTAAACTTTAGTCTTAATCCTACAAATATCTGCACATGTTTGCCTTTGTGTGGGTACTAATTCCATCAAAGCAAGAGAGAAAAATAGCATCTTCTAGGAGGTAAGAGAATCTGCAGTGCAAAGCAGACACTTCATGGTATATCACTAGGTTATAACAAGCTCCATACCTCAACTTCACATCGACTTCCTCTGCCTGGATAACTGCACCGGTCACAGGCTGCACAGTGACAGCATCACCTGGGTTTACTTTCAGGTTCTTCTGTGTGGTTTCACTCAGCCCAACTTTCCCACCTGGAAAGCCTGTGGTAGGCCAAGCAGTACAGACCTAGGAAGAGTTTCAAAGCAAACAACTGTCAGTTGAGATTTCCCCCCCTTCTATTTTCCAGTCCTTGAGTTAAAGTAAGCCATGTTTTGTTGTGAAAAACATGGGCTGAGGGGGAAGAAGGATTAGGTTAAAACCTGGTGCCACAGAGTACGATACAAGGAGCACTGAGTTCTTACAATACGATCTCAGACACTTTTCAAGAAAGAAGGGGTTACATTTTGCCTACAAAGGAGATTAAAAAATTCCACTGGGTCCCTACACGTTCTGCAGATGACACAAAAGCATACACTGTCCTGACTAGGAAATGCTACACATCAAAGAAGAAAGAAAAGCAAAGGGCTATACTCTTCCTTTGCTATTAAGACACATGTGTGTGCATATATAATACATATATTCACACACATGACTTACAAATTTCTTGAAAAAATCAGCAGCATGGATTTTTTTCTCAGTACTGAGAATAAAGACGTAACTACCGTGTAGAAAACATGGAAAAGCACATTCGCTATCTTTCTCAACGCATGACCCATTTTGGTCCATACTGAATACAACAGAAACACACGGAAAGCACAGAAAAGCGCTTGTAGGAACAGTGAAGAGTCTCACCTCCTGCCGCCCATCAGCAGAGGTAAGCAAGACCGGGCGACCTATGCATATGTTTGCGGACTTCATGCTGCTCAGCGACAGCTGGGCCAGGGCTCTTCGCAACATTTTTGGAACTTTGTCATCACCTAACGTTTTCAGGAGAAAAGAAACACGTCATTTTTTCCCTACCGATCGGACGAAATCGGTATTTCTGGCCCTCCCCAGTCAGTACAACTAACAAAACCCTTCTGATCCCTCGTGAAGCGCAGCGCCCAGCCGTGAGGGAAACGCGGGGACCCTTTTGGGGGGAAACCGTGCTAAAACGGGGCACTGTTTCTGACAGGCCTGAAAACACCCCCGGTTACGTGCTGCTGCTTGCTGACTTTTCCACCCCGTTCTAGCTACCAGCGGGGCCCTTCTGCGGCGGTCACCGCTCTTCGACGCTGCAAGAAAAGGCAAATTTCACGGGGTCTCAGCCGACCTTACCTGAGAGATCCCCGCCCCGCCCTGAGGGGACGGGGCAGCCCCTCGCGCCCGGGCCGGCTGAGGGAGAGCGGGGAGGGCTGTTCTTACAGCAGCTCGTTTTTAAACGAGCCGCCCTCAGCCCGCCGAGCCGCGACAGGCGTGAGCCCGGCCCCGCCGCCCGCACCCCCGTACCTGCTTCCACCGCCTCGGCGACACCCAGCGCCAGCAGCCCGCCCTCCGCGGGGACGGGGAGCGGGGCGGCCCGCGGCGAGCTGCCGCCGCCTCCTCCTCCTCCCGGGGCCGACCGCCCCTTACTCTTCCTCCTGGAGGAGGCGGCCATGCTTTCCCCGCCGGCTGCCGCCGAGCGGTTCCGGGAGCAGAGGCCGGCACCGCCCCGGGGAGCGG